GCTGGGCCCCCCCATTTCCTTTTTCCTCCTCTCTTCCACATGCAGTACAAACTGGTATATAAAAGTATAGATTATGCAAAGAATAATCATATGCCAATGACCAGAGAATACATTTCTTAAAAGGAATTACTCACAGAATCATAGACTATTTGAGTTGAGAAACAACAGTATCATCTAGTTTAATAACTCATATGAATGATGTATCTGACTAGTCGTAACAAAGACTGCCTAGAAACTTACAGGAAAGAGGGTCAGAGTTCCTCACAAGAAAACATTTCATTTGGAGACAGATATCCTTGTTGATAAGATAATTCTTTTTTTTTTTTCTTCTTTTTTTGGAGAGGTTTTTGCTATAGGGCGCGTGCGCTTGCCAGACAGACAAGACAGAGAGACAGAAAGCGAGAATCACCCCCCAGGGGGGATGGCCACGCCGCAATCCCTTCTCCTCCATTCTCCTCTCACGCATGCACACGTGCCCGGCATGAGTTTAAGCCACCGGGTCCAGGACTCGAACCGTGGTCGACTACGTGGGAGTCCAGTGACATATCCATTACACTAACTGCTGGTCCCGATAAAATAATTCTTAATCTCGAACAAAAGAACCACCTGTTGGTTCCAGTCCACCCCTCTGGTGTGAAGCATGGTTTAACTTCTATTCTATAGGATAATCCTCTAGATGCATGAAGGGTGCTATTAAATCTGTCATTCCCTCCTACTCCTCCATGTGCCCACACAAGTCTTCTCCAAGAATCTTTTACTGGAAATCCCAAGCTCCAGTTACAACATGAAAAACTGACACGAAGAGGAGCCCTTTGTTAAAGATGAAAATTGTTTTCAGTGACCTGAAAGTGACCCTATGATATAGAGTATGACGCCAGATTTGAATGACGCAGTTCACCGGGCCGCCCTTAGCCAGCAAGTCTAGAGAATCACCCACTACGTGTGCCTCACCACAGCTTTGTGATGTGCTACTTCTCACTATCTAGCAATTCTATGAAGTGGTCAGAATTTTCTTTGCATAAAGAGACAATATATGGGAGTTAAAAAGTTCAACAGAAATTAAAAACAGTTAAGTCATGACATAAAAGGATATACCAGGCCTGCCTGATTCCCAAGAGTTAGTTCAGGACAAATCTATGAGGGAGGATCGTCAAACTTGAAGATTCACATAGATCTACTGTGTTCTAACAAATCCACTAGGTGTAGAACAAAAGCCAGGCATTTTCTTCTAATCCTAACTGTCCCGATAGAACACTGGGATACCCTTTACTAACTCAGCAGCCAGCTACTTTTAGAAGTGAGGAGAAAATGATGATACCCTTTACACCACCATCCTCCTCCAGTCCAAACAAGCTTTCAACGTCCAGTTTACTAATTTCAAATGCAAAACCTTCAGGAACTTGGAAACCTACTTACACTACTTTAAACTGGAGCTTAAATTTATACTAGGTTACAATGTTTCAGCTAAAATCGACATCTCCCAGAATTAAGTTCCGGATAGGAGACTGAATAGAAAACATCTGTAGAGGATAAGTGTGAGTATATATAGAAGTAAGAGGCAGGGTTGTTAGTCAGGTAGAAACCAACCTCACAACAAAATATCCTGGGGAGGGGGGAAAAGAGTATAGAGAGGAAAGAGGGAAAAGATAAATTTCCTTAGTGACTGCAGTAGTTTAGAGAGTCAAAGTGCATCTACTTCACAGTGCCTATACCAGCGCTAAGTGTGCAGTGTTGATGGAATTTAAAAGCCAACCTCACTCCAATCCTCCTTAACATTTCATTCTGAAATTTCCACACCCAATGCTTGAGCTGTCCAAAATGCTCAGGGTGTGTTTATCTGTCCAAAATGTTATATTCATACTAACCTGGACTCCCACTGCTGGAGTTATGTACTTTGGCCTTGTGTTCATGCTAAGATAATTCGTTTATCGCTTTCATAAAATGACAATTCAATTCTGTAGCATTACTCAGAGACCCAGTGTCAACTCACCTCATCATCTCTTGCTGCAAAGACCTTCACAATCTGATATCCAGTAAAGAGGTTTATTGGGACCTACAACAGCAAAAGAGAAGAAGTCGTTTTGAAGCAAAATAAGTAACATATACAGTCATAATGCCATACATTATTAAGATATTTTACTCAAAATGCTTTTACTAAAAGCATTCACTGGTACTAAAAGCCACTTGTTACTTTGGATTTAATTCAATACAAGTATCTAAGCTCCTAGTGTGTATCTGGCATTGGTCTGAGTATTATAAACACAACAGTCAACAGGATATAATCTTGGCCTTGGGGAGCTTAGATAGAGAAATATGAAACTAACTGCAATGCAGTGTTACAGTTCAGGATTACACGGTGTGACAAGAGCACATTAAGAATGGCACTACACAGGGCCAGCAGGTGGTGGTGGCTGAGGTGCTGGACTCCCACATGGCCAACCACAGTACAAGTCCTAGACTTGCGGGCTTGTTTTTTTTCTCTTTTTCTCTTTCTGGTGAGCACATGTGCCCTGTAGCAAATTTAAAAATAATAATAAAGATAAATAAAATTAAATAATCCTTTAAAACAACAACAACAACAACAGAAGAATGGCACCACATATGGTCACGAGGGGTCAGGGATGATTTCTGCAAAGGAGGCATTTAAGTCAAGACTTAAAGGATAAGGAGAAACTAACCGAAAGTAAAATCTGGGTACAAATGTCCTGGGCAGAGATCACGGTGTAAATAAAACATACGGAGTGACCTAAAAGCCCAGTATATCTGGGGAGATGGCTTTTAAATAATGCAGTTCCACAGTGTGAGAGGAAAGGTAAGAGGTCAGAGATTAGTGAAGATCAGATCATGAAGTCTCTTAGGCACAAAGTTAAGGGTTTTGGACTTCATCCTAAGAGCAGTGATGAGGCCCTGGTGAATTGCAAAGAGACAAAGTGAAGAACTAATTACAGATGGGCAGGATTGGAGGAAGGAAAACTAGACAAAACAAAATAGACTGTGCATGTTCTCTCCCTCACCTTTAAGTTTAATTAGTTTATACAGGAGATGATCAGAGGAGTCAAAGCAGCTCTACCAATATCTGCTAGGAAACTTAATGTGGAAGAGTTCCCACAATTGTAATCACCTGCACTCAATTTCCTAATGTGTAAGGTCGACTACGTGGGAGTCCAGTGACATATCCATTACACTAACTGCTGGTCCCGATAAAATAATTCTTAATCTCGAACAAAAGAACCACCTGTTGGTTCCAGTCCACCCCTCTGGTGTGAAGCATGGTTTAACTTCTATTCTATAGGATAATCCTCTAGATGCATGAAGGGTGCTATTAAATCTGTCATTCCCTCCTACTCCTCCATGTGCCCACACAAGTCTTCTCCAAGAATCTTTTACTGGAAATCCCAAGCTCCAGTTACAACATGAAAAACTGACACGAAGAGGAGCCCTTTGTTAAAGATGAAAATTGTTTTCAGTGACCTGAAAGTGACCCTATGATATAGAGTATGACGCCAGATTTGAATGACGCAGTTCACCGGGCCGCCCTTAGCCAGCAAGTCTAGAGAATCACCCACTACGTGTGCCTCACCACAGCTTTGTGATGTGCTACTTCTCACTATCTAGCAATTCTATGAAGTGGTCAGAATTTTCTTTGCATAAAGAGACAATATATGGGAGTTAAAAAGTTCAACAGAAATTAAAAACAGTTAAGTCATGACATAAAAGGATATACCAGGCCTGCCTGATTCCCAAGAGTTAGTTCAGGACAAATCTATGAGGGAGGATCGTCAAACTTGAAGATTCACATAGATCTACTGTGTTCTAACAAATCCACTAGGTGTAGAACAAAAGCCAGGCATTTTCTTCTAATCCTAACTGTCCCGATAGAACACTGGGATACCCTTTACTAACTCAGCAGCCAGCTACTTTTAGAAGTGAGGAGAAAATGATGATACCCTTTACACCACCATCCTCCTCCAGTCCAAACAAGCTTTCAACGTCCAGTTTACTAATTTCAAATGCAAAACCTTCAGGAACTTGGAAACCTACTTACACTACTTTAAACTGGAGCTTAAATTTATACTAGGTTACAATGTTTCAGCTAAAATCGACATCTCCCAGAATTAAGTTCCGGATAGGAGACTGAATAGAAAACATCTGTAGAGGATAAGTGTGAGTATATATAGAAGTAAGAGGCAGGGTTGTTAGTCAGGTAGAAACCAACCTCACAACAAAATATCCTGGGGAGGGGGGAAAAGAGTATAGAGAGGAAAGAGGGAAAAGATAAATTTCCTTAGTGACTGCAGTAGTTTAGAGAGTCAAAGTGCATCTACTTCACAGTGCCTATACCAGCGCTAAGTGTGCAGTGTTGATGGAATTTAAAAGCCAACCTCACTCCAATCCTCCTTAACATTTCATTCTGAAATTTCCACACCCAATGCTTGAGCTGTCCAAAATGCTCAGGGTGTGTTTATCTGTCCAAAATGTTATATTCATACTAACCTGGACTCCCACTGCTGGAGTTATGTACTTTGGCCTTGTGTTCATGCTAAGATAATTCGTTTATCGCTTTCATAAAATGACAATTCAATTCTGTAGCATTACTCAGAGACCCAGTGTCAACTCACCTCATCATCTCTTGCTGCAAAGACCTTCACAATCTGATATCCAGTAAAGAGGTTTATTGGGACCTACAACAGCAAAAGAGAAGAAGTCGTTTTGAAGCAAAATAAGTAACATATACAGTCATAATGCCATACATTATTAAGATATTTTACTCAAAATGCTTTTACTAAAAGCATTCACTGGTACTAAAAGCCACTTGTTACTTTGGATTTAATTCAATACAAGTATCTAAGCTCCTAGTGTGTATCTGGCATTGGTCTGAGTATTATAAACACAACAGTCAACAGGATATAATCTTGGCCTTGGGGAGCTTAGATAGAGAAATATGAAACTAACTGCAATGCAGTGTTACAGTTCAGGATTACACGGTGTGACAAGAGCACATTAAGAATGGCACTACACAGGGCCAGCAGGTGGTGGTGGCTGAGGTGCTGGACTCCCACATGGCCAACCACAGTACAAGTCCTAGACTTGCGGGCTTGTTTTTTTTCTCTTTTTCTCTTTCTGGTGAGCACATGTGCCCTGTAGCAAATTTAAAAATAATAATAAAGATAAATAAAATTAAATAATCCTTTAAAACAACAACAACAACAACAGAAGAATGGCACCACATATGGTCACGAGGGGTCAGGGATGATTTCTGCAAAGGAGGCATTTAAGTCAAGACTTAAAGGATAAGGAGAAACTAACCGAAAGTAAAATCTGGGTACAAATGTCCTGGGCAGAGATCACGGTGTAAATAAAACATACGGAGTGACCTAAAAGCCCAGTATATCTGGGGAGATGGCTTTTAAATAATGCAGTTCCACAGTGTGAGAGGAAAGGTAAGAGGTCAGAGATTAGTGAAGATCAGATCATGAAGTCTCTTAGGCACAAAGTTAAGGGTTTTGGACTTCATCCTAAGAGCAGTGATGAGGCCCTGGTGAATTGCAAAGAGACAAAGTGAAGAACTAATTACAGATGGGCAGGATTGGAGGAAGGAAAACTAGACAAAACAAAATAGACTGTGCATGTTCTCTCCCTCACCTTTAAGTTTAATTAGTTTATACAGGAGATGATCAGAGGAGTCAAAGCAGCTCTACCAATATCTGCTAGGAAACTTAATGTGGAAGAGTTCCCACAATTGTAATCACCTGCACTCAATTTCCTAATGTGTAAAGTAAGTATGATGGCACCTACCTGAGAGGGTGGTAAGAAGCATTAAGTGACAGTGTATGCAAAATACTTAGTGTATTGACTAGAATATTATAATTACTGTAGCTATTGTGACCATCTTCATTGTCTCCATCTGTGACTATACTTAAAAATGATTTAGAGCATGGGACCAGCAGATGGCCTAGCAGTTTCGTCACTGGACTCCCACATAATCAACTGAGGTGTGAGTCCCAGATCCGGTGGCTTAAAACTCACACGAGACCCATGTGTGTGCGTGCCCAAAATCCTGAGAGGAGAATGGAGAAGGGAATTGTGGCACAGCCATTCTCCCTGGAAGGTGATTTCTCTCTTTCTCTCTCTCTGATGAGGGCATGCACCCTATAGCAAAAAATCTCACTTAAAAAAAATAAATAAATCAAACTGACTTAGAGCTTAAAAATTTTAAAAAGTTGATTTAGAAAATGCTTCATGACTTAAAAATTAATTTTAAGTTAATAAGAATCTTTTAAAATGGTAAATGTATTTTTTTGTTCTTTTAAATCTGTTTGTGCTTGTCATTTCACTAGATAGGCCTCACTCTCAGTAAGGCATAGGTGGTATCAATTTTTTGAGTCTTGAATTATACTTAAAAGGACTTCAGACAAGTCTTTTCTGTCTATCTGTAATTAGACAGAAACATTTCTCAATAGACCAGTTTCTACAAATCTGTCTGAAAGAGGGATCCGATCCACTGAAAAGATTCATAAATACTGCCATTAATAATTTAAATTTGGGGGAACCAGCAGTTAGTGTAATGGCTATGTTGCTGGACTCCCACGTAGTTGACCACGGTTCGAATCCCAGACCTGGTGGCTTACACTCACGTCGGGCACGTGTGCGTGTGTGCCCAAGATCCCAAGAGGAGAATGGAGGAAAAGGGATTGCGGCGTGGCCATCCCCCCTGGGGGGTGATTTCTCGCTTTCTATCTCTCTGTCTCTCTTTGTCTGGCGAGCGCACGCAAAAATCTCTTCAAAAAATAATAATAATAATAATTTTGGGCCAAAAGATGGTGAAGTGGTTACATTGCTGACTCCTACATGGCCAATTGAGGTTTGAGTCCCAGACTAGGTGGTTTGAAAATTGTGCCGGGTGTATGTGCGTGCATGCCCAAGATCCCAGGAAGAAAAAGGAGAAAGGATTGCAGCATGGCCATCATCCCTGGGATTTCTCATTTTCCCTCTCACTATCTCTGTTTCTCTTTCTGGTGAGCACACACATCCTAAAGCAACCCCCCCCACACACACACACAAAAAAAAAACACCTAAATTTTAAGTTTGTATACCTCCCAAAATAAATCATCTTATTCTATTTATTTATGTTTTTGGAGAGATTTTTGCAATAAGGTATGTGCACTTGCTGGAGACAGAGACAGAAAGTGACAAATAACCCCCCGAGGGGACAGCCATGATGCAATCCTTCTCCTCCATTCTCCTCTTAAAATTTTGGGCATGCACATGTGCCCAGTATGAGTTTCAAGCAGCTGAGTCCTGGACGTGAACTGCAGTCAACCATGAGGAAGTCCAGCACCTTAACCACTATGCCAGCTACTGGTCCCAAGTAAATAATCTTCTTTTTAAGGGAAGTATACTTAGTGTGATTTGGGAGGGACTCTCAACTTCCAAAAATTACTATTCTCACAATTAAAATCTTAGTTTAATTCTTCTAATTTTCAGCTAATAAGTTTCAAAGATGTATATGTTAGTTTGGGTGCATCTTTGAAAATACTCTCCTCAACCTCAGTGTTCTTTGATCAATCAGGAGCTATTACAGATTGTAATAGGGCAAGTAAATTTATGTGAATGTAGCATATCGTTCCTGAAGTCACACAGCGACAGTATGGTTGTACAACACAAAGAACTGTAAAAGTAGATTACTAGGTAATACTTTTTCCATTATAACTCTCACTCAGTTCTTCTAAAACCAATACAAATCTCGTCATCCTTCTAGAGCCTGGGTAAAATACACATAAAAATATACCGTACATTCATTAATTACAGGTTATCTCTTTGCCTATCAAGATGTAATCTAAAATCACTTGTAATCTTTAACAACCCTTTCTAGGACAGTATATGGTAACCTATGGTGAGTCACTGCGCTTCCCACTATGTCTGTTTTGTGTGTCTCTACGTTGGTGTCTAAAGACATCTGACTTCTAGAGAAGTTCCACATCCTAGTACTCTACATTGGATTAAGAAGCAAGGCGACTAGCATAAATCAGTAATATCCTAAAAGGTCATGGTCATTCTAAACCGAGGGAGATGCTCAACTCTCTAAAACATTCAGAGAAGACAATACAGTAGCAATGCATTGGGTCCTGTGTCTTTCAGTGAGATATGATGACCAGCAAAGCTAAGAAGTAAAAATTTAATCTATTCTTCAGATTCATGCTAAGACTTCTCTATATCTTGTTTTTTTTTTTCTCCTCAAAACTCAAAGATAGCAACATGAACCCCCAGACTGCATTTTAAAAAACTAAAAGTGAAATAACTATATACTGTAAATAAAATGACCAATCAAAAGCATACCGTCTCAATTATAGCAAAAATAAAACTCATTAATTTTGTTCATAGTTATAAAATAATTGCTGTACCTCAGAAGATTTACAAAATCCCAAAACAGAGAAGCACTTCCCTTCCGATTTATATTTCATCTGCTCTTCATCTACTTTGGAGAAAGGAACTATATCACTTCCATAGCGGTACCCTAGAGAACAAGAGAAGAGCATCTGTGAAGCATATGGGACCTCATTTTCTGCAAGCTGAAATTAGCTCTACGCATACATTAGCAATACATGCACACTCCAGAGTGCGCCTCCACCTTCTATTCCCTGGAAGCACATTACTGCCCCTTGTGATCAGCAGGGGAAAAGAAACACCAGATACACAAACCACATATACAATATAGAGATGGTTAAAATCTAATTAAAAATTTTTATGTAGCATCTCCTGCAATCTAGTTACTTTAATGGTTATCCAGCCTGGAAGAAAAAGTATAGCAAATGCATGTGCTAGTTATCCTCCAAAGATAAACCGTGGTACAAGCACGATTTGTAAACATAATAACACATTTATCCTGAAACCTGGAGACCCACAGAGAAAAGTACCCATAGGAAATTTTCAGAACAAAATGTTCTCAGAAGCGCATGCGAGAGAGATACACAAGGGCCAAACAGAAGAGGCCAGAACTCTTCTGTTTGATACAGTCAATTGATAACTTGCATATTTTCTGCATGTAAATTTATATTATTTCTGGGACATGATTTTATATTTTTCTTTTTAATTATTTAGAATATTTATGTAGACTCTTGGCTTCTTGGGAAGGAAAAAACTCCAACTCCATTCGACAGCCTTCAATTATGGAAGATCATGCCATTTCAAACAGTTTATGTATTGGTGGGGAGAAAAATCACTAAAAATCAGGAACCAGCAGTTAGCGTAATGGCTATGTTGCTGGACTCCCACGTAGTCGACTGCGGTTCGCGTCCCAGACCCGGTGGCTTAAAACTCACGCTGGGCGCGTGTGCGTGCATGCCCAAGATCCCGAGAGGAGAATGGAGGAGAAGGGATTGCGGCGTGACCATCCCCCCTGGGGGGTGATTTCTCGCTTTCTGTCTCTATGTCTCTCTCTGTCTGTCTGGTGAGCACACATGCCCTATAGCGAAAACCTCTCCAAAAAAGAAAAAAAAAGAAAAAAAAATCATTAAAAATCCAAGGATTCTGCCTTATAAATACAAAGGAAAAGTACATACATCATTATTCCAAGAAACAAAATATGTGTGTATCTAGAGGCAAATTCTGTGACTCAGTTATTTGTTCCCGTTAGTCTGCTCATGCTTATATTTAATTAAAAAGAAACACATCTTGGGCCAGGCAGTGGTATCATAACTGGACCCACATAGGAAAGGACCTGGGTTAGCATCCTGGAACTTCCCTGAGCATGCCGAGCATATATGCACACGCCTATGACCAAGGCCAGCTAAGACCGGAGGTAGACGGCAGCCTGAAGACCCTGTTGTGACTGTCTACATCTGCCTGTCTCTCTTTCATGGAATAAACAAACTGAAATAAATTTTTAAAAATCAGGTTTCTGTTTTCATGTAATCTTTTTTTTCTTTAGTTTTAATTATAGAGCTCCTGTGCTCATCAGAGACAGATAAAGAAAGAGAGAGAAAGTGAGAAATCACTCCCTGGAGGGAAGGTCCTGCCACAATCCCTTCTCCTCTGATCTCCTCTCAGGATTTTGAACATGCATGTACAAGCACCAAGCGTGATTTTTAAAGCCACGGGATATAGGACTTACACTGCCAAGTCGGCCACGTGAAATCAACGCCTTAACCTCCATACTACCTGCTGCCCCCATATATATCATTATTTTATTTTATTTTATTTGACCTTAGGGTGAGTGCCCTTGTGAAGAAAGACAGGGAGAGAGAAAGTAAGAAATCATACCCTGGAGGGTATGGCCATGCCAAAATCTCTTCTCCTCCATTATCCTCTAGGGATTTGGGGCATGCACACAAACACACACACACACACACACACCCATGTGATTTTCAAGCCACAAGGACCAGGACTCAAACTGTGGTCAGCCATGTGGGAATCCAGCACCTTAACCACTGGTCACCTCTGGCCCCTGGATCATGTTTTAAAAGATGGTGATGAAAGCTGAATCCATAGTACAGTGGCAATGTACTATGGAAGCTGGATCCCACACAGTGCCTGTGAATCACATCCCCAGCCCAGTCAGCATGAAACACACTGGGTATGCACATAAGCACCTAAGACCCGATGTGCGGGAGAACTGGAGAACGGGGATCACAGCCTGACCAGACCCTGTGTAGGACGCTCATCTCTCTCTTCCTCTCGCTCTCTCTCACATACACACACTCTACCATGAATAAAGGGAAAAAAAAATAGGTGGTGATGAAAACAAAAATTTCAACAAAAAGTCAACAGGGAAAGGTATGTCACGTGACTAAGAATAATATACGGGGCCAGCAGGTAGTGTGGTGGTTAAGGGCACTGGACTCCCACATGGCCGACTGTGGTTTGAGTCACTTTTCTTTTCTCTGTCTCTCTCATTCTGTCCCTCTCTGGTCAAATTAAAATAAATGAATAAATAAATAAATTTAGAAGAAAAATAGGGAGGCAAAGCATTAATGGCACAGAGAAATGTATTATCTGTTGAGGATGTTTTGTAGTTTTATCAACTGGACTAGGGAGAGATGTTCATCTGTTGAAATATCCATTTTGTAAGACAAATAACAATGTGACTGAATGTATAAAAGAAAATGAAATGAAAAAATTTATGAAAAATAAATTAAAAATCACCATTTACATCTATCATAATAATAGCCTCAAGCAAGAATTATGAATAAATGCCAAAGTTAGTGATTCAAAATATGAAAAAAAAATTCTTTTAAAAAAGAGAATATCTAAACCAAATGTTTCTTCTAACTTCTCTGCCATCTTCTTGCTTGAATCATTTAATAGTAACTTGATAATTCTAATTAAAACTGTCTTGTAGGGCCAGGTGGTGATGGAGTGGTCTGATTACAAAATTCATGCTAAATGCTACTGAATCAAAGAATGAGTAGAGGGTCAGTTGGTGGCATGGTGGTTACGGCAGGTGGATCCCACATGGCCAACTGCACAGTTGAATCCTGGACCCGGAAGTCTGAAACACATACTGGGCACATGTGAGTAGATGCCTAAAATCCCAACACGATGGAGAGATAAAGAAGGGACTGCAGTATGACCCACCCCCCCCATCGGAGGGGGTTCTTTCTTATGCCCTCCCCCTCTTAGTGAGTGTACATGTTTTCTGGCAAAATTAAAAAAAAAAGGGGGGGGGGACCAGCAGATGGTGTAATGATTACATTGCTGGACTCCCACAGAGTTGACTGAGGTTCGAGTCCTAGACTTGGTGGCTTAAAACCTCACACTGGGTGTGTATGCGTATGTACCCAAAATCCCAAGAGGAGAATGGAGGAGAAGGGATTGTGACCTGGCCAGCCCCCGAGGGGGGTGATTGCTCACTTCTGGCTTCTCTGTCTCAGGTGAGCACATGTGCCCTATAGCAAAAATCTCTCTTAAAAAAAAATAGTAGAACTAAATAACACACACAATTCCTTAGGAGAAAGAAAGGAATAATAGCCACTATCACTTTAAACCACTCTCCCTTCACTCAACACACACGAATATACAATTCTACAATTATACAACTGAGACACGATGCCACAGATGAAAGGAATTTTTTTCAAGGCTTACAAATCAAAACTGCTATAGGGGCCAGAAGGTGGCATGATGGTTAAGGTGCTGGATTCCCACACATAGCTGAACACTGGTTAAGTGCCAAGCCGAGAGGCTTAAAAGTCACACGGGGCATCACGTGTGCACGCATGCTCAAATTCCTGAGAGGAGAATGGAGGAGGAGGGATTGCGCGTGGCTAAGTCCACACCCCACCCCACTCCCTAAGGGAGGGAGATTCTTTCTCACTCTCCCTCTCTCTCTCTTTCTCAGGTGAGTACACGTGCCCTATGGCAAAAACCTAACAGTAACAACAAAAACCCTGGCTTCAGGGTTTGCCTTCTAATATATTAATCATCATTTGGTATCTTATCATTTTTGTTTTATTGATTGTGATTTCACCAGAGGTGGTTAAAGGCACTGGATTGGGTAGTAGAGCAGCTCCCTCGCTGTGCTCTAATGAGACCTCCCAATACAACAGTTAAAAAAATTTTTTTGAAGTATAATTTTAGCTTTTAAACCTTTAGATATTCTCAGTTAGTTTGGAGATACCAAGTTCTCAGCTAGTTTGGAGAAGCAAACAGATAAAATGTATGAGTTCAACTTTAAAGATCCTGGTAAACATAAAACAATTTAATAAATACAAAGAGTTTATCATAACCCCTAAATTAAGTTAAGGAAGCATATCTGGTATAAAACCTGAAATTGGGGCCAGCCTATATATAGCATAGCTATTAAGGTGGCTGGATCCCACGTGGTTAGGTTAACCTTACAGTTGGAGTCTTGGACCCCGTGGCTTGAAAAAAGCACCAGGCCTATGTGCATGCAAGCCTCAAATCCTGAAATTTTAGAGAGAAAAATGAAGAAAAAGGGACTGTGACATGACCATGACCCATGGGGGTGCTTTCTCTTGATCTCCACCCCTACACATGCACTGGTGAACACACATGACTTCTGGCCAATTAAGAAAACAAACAAAAACATGGGACCAGCAGTTAGCATAATGGCTATGTGGCTGAACTCACATGTAGCCAACTGCAGTTCGAGTCCTGGACACAGTGGCTTAAACGCACGCCAGGCGCGTGTGCATGCGTGCCTAAGATCCCGAGAGGAGAATGGAGGAGAAGGGATTGTGGTGTGGCCATCTGCCCTGGGGGGTGATTTCTCGCTTTCTAGCTCTCTGTCTCTCTCTGTCTTTCTGGCAAGCACACGTGCCGTATAGCAAAAATCTCTCTCTCAAAAAAAAAAAAAAAACCATAACAACCAAAAAAATAAATTTATTTTTAAAAAGCCCTGAAATTGGAACTTAAAAAAATAAGGCAAAGCAAAAATAACACAGAATAAATAAAACGCTTGTCTTAGCCACCTTAATACAAGCATTCTCCTAGTTAGTGAATTTCAAACTTTAAAATAAAGTCAACTTATTAAGTCTGTTATTTGAGATATTTAAAACTTAGAGACAGAATACCTCAGTACACTCCTAGAAACCATCCCGTCTACAACATCCAGACGAACTAAAAGGCTTTAGTATCTCATTACCCCCTCAAATAATTCTATCTCTATAACTCAGTAAAATGTCTCTAAGTGGATAATAATATAAGAATCCTAGCTTGCCTCATATCACCTGGAAGAAAATTTCTTATAGGCAAAAGTGAAAACTCTTACTGGCATACCTTGAATAGTATCCTCTTTTGAAACTTCAGTTTCATCATCATCATTTAAGCAATAAACTGTTTCTCTTTGTATATCTTCCTTTTTTAAGGTTCTTGCATCCACAATTGTCCAAGCCTTTGTAACTCTCTCCTGTAGAATCTTATTTCCAAAAAATAAATAAAGGAGAAACAAAATAGCTAGTATTTTTTAGTCATAGAAGATGAAAACCTCCATGTTCTTTGGCTCACAAATACCTAGAATAATAAATCAAGCCACATTTTGTTTTCTCTTGCCCATTATAGAATTCTCAGTTTGTTTTCTCATATGGTTTACTGGATAAACCTCTCTACATTTCATTCCCACCCAGGTAATCTACAGATAAATGTTAATTCCTGTATATATACAAATAATTTCCTTTTTTTAAGAAAAAGAATTATTTACTTAATTTTATTTATCATCATTATTATTTTTAATTTGTATAACATGTGTACTCACCAAAGAGAGATGGAGAGGGAGAGAGAAAGCAAGCTACCAGGTCTGGGACTTGAACCATGGTCAGCCATGTGGGAGTCCAGCGCCTTAACCACCATGCCATTTGCTTGCTCCATGAACAACTTTTTTTTAAAAAATATTATTACCATTTCTTTTACACATTCAATCATGTTACTTAGCATGAACAACTTATTATACAAAACCCTCAGACTGGGCTGGCCCCATGGCCTATTGCTTAAGGGTAGGTGGATACCACATGACTGAATGTGATTCCAATCCCAGCACTGATGGCTTGAAAAATAGGCACGTGTACATGTGTGCCCCAAATTCCAATGGGATGGAGAAACAGAGAAGGGATTGCAGCAAGACCACATCCCATTGAGGGATGCTTTCTCCCTCTTTGTTTCTCTCTGGAGATTGGATGTGCTCTCTGGCAAAGAAAGAAAGGAAAAACAAAAAACCTTCAGTGTGTCTAATAAAACAGGACCATACATTTTATCATAGTTTTCCAGTAGAAAGGAAGAGTAATATATCACCTGTCAAGAATCAACGAAGAGGGGTTAGCAGATGGCATAGTGGTTACGTCACTGGACTCCCACGTGGCTGACCATGGTTAGAGTCCGGGACACAGCAGCTTAAAAATCACGCTGGGTGAGTGTGTGTGGTTGCTCAAGATCCCGGGAGGAGAATGGAGGAGGAGAGACTGTAGTGTGGACATCCCCCAGGAAGTAATTTCTCATTTTCCCTCACTAACTCTTGTCTTGTCTCTCTCTCACCCTAAGACAAAAACGTCTCAAAAAAAAAAAAAGAAAGAAAAAGAAAGAAAGAAAATAGAGTCATGAAGAAACTTGAAAAAGAAATAGGAATAAAGAAGGGAAGAAAGGGGCCAGCAGGAGGTATAGTGGTTAAAGGTGATAGATTCCCACATAGCTGACCACAGCTTGAGTCCTGGACCTGGCGGCTGGCTTTCTCGCTTTCCCTTTCTCTCTGTCTTGTCGAATTAAAAATAATAACTAATGGAATTAAATAAATAAATAAATAAATATTTCTTAAAAAAAAGAAGGGAAGAAACTGCATTCTCATTCCTGGGGATACTATTTCAGGCCTCGATGGAACCTGAAATAAAGAACTCTCTCTAAGATTCTCATGGGTACATCATGTACTTTGGAGTTAAGTCTCAGAAAATACAAAAACACCTGAATACATAAAAACATGTTTCTGGATACCTATTTCATACATTTAAAATGTCTTTATATTTTATATATTGGATTGTCAGGAAAGTCATGACAAATTTTTCCATAGAAAAACATGGAAAAATACATCATGTCTCTCCTGGTGACCTAATATTTGAAGAAAAAAGGCAGAGAGGCTCAGGTTGAGGCAAAGATTGAGATTCCCACTCAGAATGGCATTGCATCAAATAATCACCAAAAGCAACTCATTTTTTAAAGTGTGCTATCACATATGAATGTACATTTATTACAAAATGAAATTTCACAGGCTAGCCCTTGACTTGGTAGTTAACGTAGCTAACTAGATCCTACATGACCTACTGTGTGGTTCGAGTCCCAGACCCTGCGGCTTGTGAAACACGTTGGGGCACATGTGCATGTATGCCCATAATCATGAGAGAGAGAAAAGGAGTGAGATCACCCCTACAGGAGATGCTTTCTCACTTCTGTCTCCCTCCAGCAAGTATCCACCCTCTGGCAAATTTTTAAAAAAAGGAAATTTCATGATAATAACTCACGATTTTTTGATATTTCAGAGCTATTATTAACAAATCATTAATAAGTAAAAGAGGTGTACCGAGTCTCCAAAACTCTGAACTTAACTCTTGAGTACATTTATGAGAGGACTTCAAAAACTTCAAGGAAAAATGAATTAAAGTAACAGCTTATTTTGGTACCAAAAAAAAAAAAATGAAATCCATGTCTAGTTTTTTCATAATAGCATTTACCATGAATATTTCTGCTTTGATTCTACAATGACACAACTTAATGAATTTCATTTTCTTACTTTCTTTTTTAAAGGTTTTTGCCACAGGGCACATGCACTCCCCAGAGACAGAGAGAAACGGAAAAATGAGAAATCACCCCCCAGGGATAATGACTATGCCAAGATCCCTTCTCCTCCATTCTCCTCTCAAGACTTTAAGCATGCACACACACATACCCAGTGTGATTTTCAAATTACCAGGTCTAAGACTCAAACCACGGTCCAGCACCTTAACTACCACACTACCTACTGGCCCCTTATTTTCTTTCTTTTTTTAAAAAAAAGAGAGAGGGGCCTGGCACTCTTGACTGACAATCACTTATCAACAGAGAGAAGGAGAAAAGGGGAAAGAATCAAACTCTGTTATTCTGTTGCAGACAATTCTTAACATTTCCTTTCCTAGGAACCAGCAGTTAGCGTAATGGCAATGTCACTGGACTCCCATGTAGTCGACTGCGGTTTGAGTCCCGGACCGGTAGCTTAAACTCATGTCGGGGGCGTGTGCGAGCGTGCCCAAGATCCCGAGAGGAGACTGGAGGAGAAGGGATTGTGGCGTGACCATCCCCTATGAGGAATGATTTCTTGTTTTCTGTCTCTCTTGTCTCTCTCTTTCTGGCGAGTGCATGCACCCTATAGCAAAAAAATCCTCTCCAAAAAAAGAAAAAAAAATTCCTTTCCTAGTATGCCTTTTACATAAAAAGCTACACAGAGATGACATAAACAAGGAGAGCAGTTAGAAAGGCAGTAACTATGGTTCTGAGTAACCCACACATGAATTGTCAGTTCCTTATATAAGCGCATTATTCTGCCTGGTAACATTTCTTTTAAACCTGTATTATCTACCACTTACCGATTTGTAGGCCACAATCTTTATAGCTAAGTTGGAGCCAATGGTCAGCTGACAGGGCCAGGGCACGGAATTCCTCTGAATTTTCTAGGAATGATTTCTTGTTTTCTGTCTCTCTTGTCTCTCTCTTTCTGGCGAGTGCATGCACCCTATAGCAAAAAAATCCTCTCCAAAAAAAGAAAAAAAAATTCCTTTCCTAGTATGCCTTTTACATAAAAAGCTACACAGAGATGACATAAACAAGGAGAGCAGTTAGAAAGGCAGTAACTATGGTTCTGAGTAACCCACACATGAATTGTCAGTTCCTTATATAAGCGCATTATTCTGCCTGGTAACATTTCTTTTAAACCTGTATTATCTACCACTTACCGATTTGTAGGCCACAATCTTTATAGCTAAGTTGGAGCCAATGGTCAGCTGACAGGGCCAGGGCACGGAATTCCTCTGAATTTTCTTAAAGACACACAGTTGTCTCAGACTCTCACTTAATAAAAACATATAATGAAAGCAAGAATTTTAAAATATTAACTTGCATTGGGGGATATACTTAATTTTTGAGAATGAAAAGTGAGCTTTTATTGATTATAAAGGAAGGAATGGAGCGGAATGGAAGAAAAATGACAACCAGAAGTCGGGAGAGAGAATACAAGTGACTTGGCTAGGAAGTGGGAGCTGAAGTTTCCTCACTGACAGGTGGAGATGAACATCTCTATTTTCCCCTACTCGATCTTTTCTTTCAACTTTGCCACTGGTTCTTAGTGTTTTTTCAGGACCAAGGACACCTTTGAGGGTATGGTAAGAGCACATTCACGAATGAGTCTGCACACCATGTAAAGGGCTCACCCCTCCCTGAAACCCATGGACCTGAGGACGAGAAGCCCCGCTCTAGGATATCACAGGCTGGCAAGATCCTGTAATACCACTGTGCACAACTTTACCTTCAGTTAGTTCATAGTAGTTCATATTATCTTCAATAAAAGACACGATGCTTTTATATGCATATAAAGAGTATTTATATTTACGAAGAGTTAAGTGAAGACTATACAGTAACTAAACTACAGTAACTAAACTACAGTAACTAAAGACTTTATCAGTCCATATTTAGTCTCAAGGAAAAGCAAAAAACTAGGTTTCTTACTAGTGGGGAAAGCTAGAAGGGGGAGGGGCAAAGTGTTAAGTCTTGTTTCATTTAAACAAAAATGAGGATGAATTCTTATCTGTCCGCTAATCAGACATAGCAGAGATTACAGTAGACAGGCAGAATCTGTGGTATTCACCAAAATGAGAAGCAAAGGAATTAATGCATACAATCTAGACCTTATGACTGATCTTAGTTCAGATGAAAAACATCTACAAGGAGGTAAGAAAAATTATCTTACATTATCTACAGAGTTAAGGACAGAGAGGCCTTAAGAAACTCCAATTTTCAGAAATAATTTACAATGAATAGTAGATAATTCTATCTGACACCTTGCTTCCAGAACTTGAGGTAATCTTGCCTGTCAATTTGTTGAATAATGAATTGGGATGAACCACATCTTACCTGTCTCATAGGACACTATCAGTTCAAGTGTGAGTCAGGTCTACAATCACTGTAAGGTTTAGACTCTGTCCCATGGGAAATTCTATAAAGACCAGAGTCCAGTGCATAAGATGTGAGAAAAGTGGATCATTTCTACAGTAGAGCTAAATCTCCCCTAGTTAAGTTGTCTTCCTAAGGCCTATATAGGGGTGAGCACGGTCCAGGGCTATCCAGTACAAATTTCTGCAGTGTCAGAAATGTTGATTCCTACCATGCTGCCCAGGTTACTGAGCAAGTGAAACATAGCCACTGTGACTGAGAGAATAAACTTTTTAACATCTTGCATCCTAATGAAATTTACATAGCCACATGTAGCTGGACTGAATTGCACTGGTTTGTGCCTTCAACCTGAAATTAAAGTGGTTGTGAATTGCTGGGACCATACACAGTCAGCAATTTGCCATTTTGTTGTGCTACAGAAAGAGAAATCCAAAACAACAAACCTTTTCAAATGGCATTTATACTGACCTACAGTTTTTCTTTAAGATACTGTGGTTACGATGTTAACCTAAGGCACATATCCCCAAATTTAAAGAGAAAAACTTAGAAACACGTGTCAGCACATGGGATAAGAACAGAATATACAAAAAATGAAACTTTACAGAATTCCTCAATGATTCATTTCGGCAAATCCTTCAGATATTATAATTCCATTTCCAAAAATTTTCATTTAGCTGCAGTTTTTCAAGGGTGTCTTTATTTAGAAAATCAGGAGGTATTATTTGTCAATTATAGCAAACCAGAAATATTTAAAATTGAAGAAAAAATTAAAATAGATATATACTGTAGTTACTCAAAAAATTCTTGTTGCTGAATCCTTACTTCAAGTGAGAACTTTGCTGAAACTGCCTGTATTTTGTGCACTGATTGGAAAATTTAAATTAATCCATAAATGTTAAGCAATAGTGTCCCTGAGAATATGAATTCACACAAGCCACACTGCTTGATAAAGTATTCTATTGTCACTTTTACTAATCGTGCTCCTCAAATACATACTATTCTAGATACTACTAATCCATGTCAGGTCATTGTTCAAAATAAGGCACGTCCTGTTCCAATCAGGAGAAACAGTAATAAGGGACGGTCTTTCATGCAGTCTATAGTCATGTGACTAAAGAAAGTGGTCTGCATTATCATTATATGGTACACTTAAGGCATTTTACTTTTAAAAATCATTTTGCCTTTGCAAGTATGAAATAAGTAGTCTATGAATTGTTTACATTCTAGTCTTAGCTTTTTTTTTTTTTTCCTAATCTATTTTGTGACCAAAATTTTTTTAAAAAAATTATTGGCAGCCAGCATGTGGTATGTTGGTAAAGGCATTGGATTCCCACATGGCCAGCCAAGGTTCAAATCCTGAACCTGGTGGCTTGACTCCCACACCAGGTGCATGTGTGTGCATGCCCAAATTCCCAAGGAGGATGGAGGAGAGGGGCTTGTGGTGTGGCCATCCTTGGAGGATAGGGGAAGATTCTTGCTTTCTGTCTATCTGTCTCTGTCTCTCTGTTGAGTGCATGCACCATATAGCAAAAATCTTTCCCAAAAAGGAAATATCATTACTCCATAGTATGCTCTTTCTAAAATCAGAATCAGAGGATAAGAAGATGACTACCTCAGATCTGGTACTACTTTTTATAATTATGAATTTTTTGTTAAGTATATAAAAAAGAGGGGTAATAGAAATGTGTCCTAAGCCAGTATAAAAAATAAATGTATTACTTTATATTATAGGAATCGACTTGTTACATATCTCATGGTATCTATGTATTCCCAAATTTTAAAGACACAAGTCCTGGAAATAAATGAGAAATCTTGTGCCAACCACAAAAACTTTTAAAAAAGGGAATATGGTGGGGAGTACAATTTCTTTAATGAAACTCAGAATATTTATTAAACAAAGTCAGCTAATTAAAGGGTGGTCCAAGAACAAGAAAAGCCTAAATTAGGGAGAACTCTCATCAAAAGAGAAAGTTAAATGGATTCAAAAGATAAATTTAAGTGGCTATGATTGAAAGCTGTTGCCAATGTTTTCACTTCTTACCTGAAGGAATAAATTTCATCCAGCCCATCTTTACCTTCTAAAGACATCATCAGGTTTTTCACCATCTGAACACCTTCTTTTTGCTGCTCAGTAAGTCCTTTTTGAGGAAAGGAGGGCCCATGGTGGTCTGAGCGCAATTTGCCATCTCCTCTGTCCCCAGTTCCGTCTTCCTTGTCAACTGGGAAAGGTAGGCTATCAGGAAGAGATCAGCGGTCGTTAAGACAAGCTCTGAAGCCAAATAATAAACTGGAACAAACTGGGTTCCAATCCTGTGACTGCCACTCACTCACTATGAGAAAATGAGAATGCTGGTCAACCTCAGTGAGCTTCATATTTATCATCTGTCATACTATACTTGTCTACCTTAGCCAATATTTGTCCAGTTTCAAGTAACTAAAATCTCTTTGACACAGTAAAAGGAACATATTTATTGGCCTACATAGTGAAATGATTGAAAGGGAAGGGCTGCAAGGGACCTTAGAAGGAGACCCAGGGTCACAAATGCCACAAGGATTACCTGGTCCACCTCTCTCTCTCCCTCCATTACTACCTTCACTTGCCGTCGTGTTTTCCTCACTCTAGCCTGCCCTTTTCTGCATTGTCTCTGAACACATTCAGGATCTGCTATGCTGTGCATGTGCCCCTAAAATTCCTATGTAGAAATTTAATCACCAATGTCATAATATTAAAATGTGGGGTTTTATGAGGCAATTAAGTCATAAACAGGATGAGTGATCTTCTAACAGAAGCAGAGGGGAGCAGAGCACTTCCTTGCCCTTCTGCCATGTGAAGACAGTATTGGCCTTTTCCGCCAGGTGAGGATGCAGCAACAAGGTGCCATTTTAGAAACAGAGATGCAGAGATCCCTCAGCAGACACCGAATCTACATCCATTTTCTTTTGTTTTAATTGCCAGAGGGCATGTGTGTGAGAGAGAGGGTAACCCCCGAAAGAGCACGGTCATGCTGCGATCCTTTTTAGTTTCATTTCTACAACCTGTCAAAATTTGGGACACACAGCACATGCACTCGGCATGTTTTTCAAGCAACCAGTGCTGGCATTTGAACTATGGTAGTCCATGTGGGATGCAGCTCCCTAAGCACAGGGCTTAACAGCTATACTATGAAGCTGGCACTCTACCATCATTTTCTAAAAAAACAAAAACACTGAAGTTGCAGAGAGGAAATAATTTGGCCAAATCCATACAGCTACTATGTACAGTTATTACCTTGGTATCTGGGGAAATGGACCAAGGACTCCCCTGGAGATAATGAAATCTGCAGATGATCAAGTCTCTTACATAAAATGGTATGGTACAGCTGACTCTCCACATTCAAGGGTTCCTCATGCAGAGCTGAAGGACAGAGTATAATGGAGCAAAGACTCAGACACCTGACCGGAAGGGCAAGGTTCTTTCCACGGTAGCAGATCACCTTACTTTACCCCTGGAAGCCTGAGGGGCTCAACTCAGCAATGGTTTCGGTTCACTCACCATTTCCTGTTTGGATGAATATTTTTAAGGTGATCTTTCTTATTGGTTCATTTGCTATAATTAAAACAAGGCTAGGTCTAAATATTTTTACATATACTTAGCATGACAAATTGGCAGTCCTGCATTACCTATTAGCTAAAAGGCTACCGGGGGTGGGGCCATGATGGTTAAGGCACTGAATCCCAAATGGCTAACTCCACGGTTTGAGTCCTGGACTCCATATAAAGAAAATGCCCAGTGCGTATGCGTGTGTGCCTAAGATCCTGAGACAAGAATGAAGAAGGGAATATAGCATAGCCATCCCTCTCTTCTTTCTCAGGCAAGCACACATGCCCTGTGGCAAAAATCTTAAAAAGAAAAAAGGGTGCCAGGGGCAAGGTGTGGGTTTGTATCAGGTTATTGCTATTTCAGGAAAAGAGGACAAATAACATGAAAATGAAGAGTTAAGAAGTTATCCAGGCAAAAGAAATTACACTTAACAGTTTTTTCTACCTTACACTGGACCAGAAATAAACTTGCTGAATAGTCAATAAAAGAAATTAAAAACTATGTCCAAGGAATAAGCCTGCTCAGAATACAGTGCTTCTCTGGGCTGCTGGCCTTTGTTTAGTCCAACTAAGACAATCAGTCATACACGGAATACACCAAACTATAAACTCTTTGTACGAAAGAGGTCTGTGGCACAGGAGGAAAGCATACCACACAAGAAAAAAAAAATACAACTAGTCACATAACAAGTAGAATAAGAAGCTAGATTCCCTTTTCTACTTGCTTTACTGTACTGCTCATATCAAAAAGGAACCCTTTCCAATGACACTGACAGAGGTGCAGTATGCTTCAGCCATGTAGAGGCATTCTGGAAAACCCTCAACTCAGTAAGAAGTGTCACTTAAAAAGCCCTTAATTCTCTGAAGCACCATCTTCACAAGTATCTGTTTGATGGGTTATTCTGAACTATTTTCCTATAGGCCTACAAAAAGGAGATGTCCCTAGGCAGTTTTAAGAGGTACATACATGCAAAAGAGGTTCTTAATTCCCCACGGCAGACATTTGAAGAGGCCAAAGGCTTGCCATTTTGAGCTAGAGACTTCTTGGCATACCTCTCAATTTAAAAAATAAGTGTCCTCACATAAGATTAATAATTCAAAATCCTGGGGACCAGCAGTTAGCATAATAGCTATGTTGCTGGACTCCCGTGTAGTAGACCGTGGCCCCAGATCCGGTGGCTTAAACTCATGCTGGGCGCGTGTGCGTACATGCCCAAGATCCCGAGAGGAGAATGGAGGAGCAGGGAATGAGGCATGGCCATGCACCCTGGGGGGTGATTTCTTGCTATCTATCTCTCTGTCTCTGTCTTTCTGGTGAGCGCACGCGCCCTATAGCGAAAACCTCTCCAAAAAAAGAAAAAAAAAAAAATTCAAAATCCTATACCATCCCTCTCCTTTCACCAAAAATACAAGAAAAAGTAGGTTTCAAATGCAGCAGGATTAGTGTAAAGAACTTTTAAAAAGGGATATAAGCAGAGCTAGCAGGTGGCATAGTGGTTAAGATGCTAGGCTCCCACATGGCCAACTGTGGTCCGAGTCCCAGACTTAGCAGCGTGAAACTCACACCAAACATGTATGCCCAAAAACCTCTAGAGGAAAATAAGAGGAGAAAAGACTGCAGTGTGGCATCCTCCTTGGGATGTGATTTCTCACTTTTTCTCTCTGTATCTCTGGCAAGTATACATGCCCTTTAGCAAAAAATATCTCTTAAAAAGAAAAGAAAAAAGAATAAAAGTGATATAACCTAAAGAAAGTAAATATTGGGACCAGCCAGGTAACATGGTGTTTAAGATGGCTGGATCCCACTTGGCTGACCATGTAGTTCAAGTTCTGGACCCAGTGGCTTAAAGAACATGCTGGACACAGGTGCGTGTGTGATCAAAATACTGAAAGGAGAATGGAAGAGGGATTGAAGCATGGGTATTTCCTCTTCTCACTTTCCTTCTCTCTCTCTTTATCTGGCAAGTGTATATGTCTTATTGCAAATTAAAATGAAAAAAAAAAATAAAACGAAAATAAGTGAGATATTCAACTTACTGTGATTAGAGAGACTCTCTCTTTTTTTTTTACAGCGGTTTTTGTCATAAGGCATGTGTGCTCGCCAGAGAGAGAGACAGATAGAAAATGAGAAATCACCCCCAAGGTGGGGGATGGCCACGCCGTAATCCCTTCTCTTCCATTCTCCTCTCAGGATCTTGGGCACGCATGCACATGCACCCGGCGTGAGTTTAAGCAACCCAGTCCAGGGCTCGAACCGCGGTTGACTACATGGGAGTCCAGCGACATAGCCATTATGCCAACTGCTGGTCCCAAGGGACTCTCTCTTAACAAATTGTGAAATATACATTTTCCCCAAAGCTTGTATACCTCATCTCTAAATACACTTAAGCAAATTACATTTTATAAAGGTGTGTATATCGTTTAGATCTGGAAGAGTTAAATACAGACATTATATGTATTGAAAATGATTCCTAAGTTGATATTCTGTCCACCAAAAACAACTACTGCATATAGGACAGTTATCTAGAGCTGTTAAAGAGAAGGAGCCATTAGCTGCTCTGCCTATGGGATAGATCTTCTATCTTTCCTTCCAGGGTGATCTGTGTCATGGCTGTGAAAGAATCCACAGATGAAAGGGTTAAAGTCTCCTTAAGGATCAGAAAATGTTAACTCAGCCTCTCAGTGTTTCCCTGGCACAAGGTTGTTTCAATGTGCTCACTGATGCCTTCACGGGGAAGGCTCATTTATACTCCTGATCTCTGCCTACAGGTATGGAGATCGCTGACATTGAAATATCAACAAACCTCCAAATGTATGGCAGATGAAATGACAACCAAAGATAGCAATGAAACAGTGATTGTGAAAGAGACTGTGAAAGATCAACAGGCATCCTGTCCAGAATCACCCTAATTAATGACCTAACCATAGCCTCCCCTTTTCCCCCCCTAAGTCCCAACAAAGTCTCCCTGCCCCTACCCTTTGGGGCCAATGCAACCCTCTACATCTGGTCCCTTTCCTCCCTTGGAAAGTGAATAAATTCTTTTCTCTGTCTGAAAAAGAAAGGAAGGGGAACCAGTAGTTAGTGTAATGGCTATGTCGCTGAACTCCCATGTGGCTGACCGTGGTTCGAGTCCCGGACCTGGTGGCTTAAACTCATGCAGGGTGTGTGTACATGCATGTCCCAGATTCTGAGAGGAGAATGGAGGAGAAGGGAATTGCGGCATGGCCATATCCCCTGGGGGGGTGATTCCTCGCTTTCTGCCTCTCTGTGTCTCTCTGTCTCTCTGTCTTTCTGTCGAGCACACATGCCCTACAGCAAAAACCTCTCCCCCCCAAAAAAAAAAAAAAAAAAAAGGAAGGAAGGAAGGAAGCCATTAATATAACTGTTTAGATAACGTCTTCTATGTAAAAGACTCTGCTAATTTCTCAATTCTTTGAGTGTAAGAACAATGAGTAAACAAACCATCTGCTTAAACCCAATTCCTCTGCATCATGGTGACTGTCATCTCTTCATCATCAAAACTCAAAACAGGGACCAGCAGTTAGCATGATGGCTATGTCGCTGGACTCCCACGTAGTCGACCGTGGTTCGAGTCCCAGACCCGGTGGCTTAAACTCACGCTGGGCGCATGTGCGTGCGTGCCCAAGATCCCGAGAGGAGAATGGAGGAGAAGGGATTGCGGTGTGGCCATCCCCCCTGGGGGGGGTGATTTCCTGCTTTCTGTCTCTCTGTCTCTCTCTGTCTGTCTGGCGAGCACATGCGCCCTATAGCAAAAACATCTCAAAAAAAAAAAAAAAAACTCAAAACAGGGGCCAGCCCCATGGCCTAGTGGTTAAGGGGGCCAGATCCCCAGTGACAAACCGTACAGTTCTAATCTGGCTCTAGTAGCTTAAAAAGTGCTGGGCACATGTGCATGCAGGCCCACAATCCCAACAGGATGGAGAAATGGAGAAGATGTTGCAGAATGACCACACCCTCTTGGGAAGTACTTTTCCTCTCTCTCTCTCTATCTCCCTGGCTCGCTCTGAGAGCAATACTCCTCTCTGGCAAATTAAAAAAAAAAAAAAAAACTCAGAACAGTTCCTGGATCACAGTATATAATCAGTGTATGTTTGTTAAGCAGTTAGTCATCTTACAGTTTCCAAATCAGAACAAAAAGAGAAGACTCCTATGAATCAAGTCCCTATATTAGGAGTCACAAGATTTGTCTCCACACATTAGTCTTAGGATCTTACAAGAACTGGAGGGAGATCTCAGATTTCTTCAAGTGATGAATGATAATGTCCAGGTGCTCTTTGCTGAATGGGCTGCTGAGGTCAGTGAACATTTCAATATGTCTCTTCTCAAACTTCTTTCCCCTAAAAGACAAAGTTATAACATTAAGCAATCAGTCTACAATTTTCTACAAGGTCTAATACACTTGGTAAATAAGCAGAGAAAGGTTAAGGAATGAATCTACATATCGTTAAAAAATGTGATTATATCCTAGAAGTCCACATGTTGTTGAAGCTCAGTTAAGTTCCTATTAAACACATAATCAACCCTGGTACAGCTCATACTTTGAACATCTTGGGCAAAATTTCTGATCATTATGGAAATATGTTCCTGAATTCCTAACTCTTAATTTTGCTTAAATATGCGGTCACTATGATTAAAAATGATCCCTTTTCTGGGCCAGCAGGTGGTATGGTATTTAAGGTGCTAGACTCCACATGGCTGAATGCAAGGTTTGAGTCCTAGACCCAGTGGCTTGTAAAACATGCCAGGAATGTGTGCATGCATGCTCAAAATCTCAAGAGGAGAATGAAGGAGATGGGATTGTGATGTGGCCATTTCTGCTTGGGGGTGATTTCTCACTTTCCCTTTCTATCTCACTTTCCCTTTCTATCTCACTTTCCCTCTCTCTTTCTCCAGCCAGCGCAAACACCCTATAGCCAAAACACTAAAAAAGAAAAAACAAAAATAAATACCTTTCTAGTCTTCAGATAGACACAATGTACACAAGGACTTCTCCCAGTGTGTTACAACTTCAACCTCACACAGATTTACTTTCCTAACATCCTGCCCTGATTAGATACACTCAGGGCTTGTGACAGGATTTTGTAGATGCACAGAGATTGGGAAATATTATAGATTTAAGTTGGGACCAGCAGATGGTGTAACAGTTATGTTGCTGGACTCCCACATGGCCAACTACAGTTTGAGTCCTGGATCCAGAGGCTTGAAACTTAAGCCAAGCACATGTGGGATTGTGGCATGGCCATCCCCAGGAAGGGTGATTTCTCGCTTTCTGTCTCTTTGTTCCTCTCTATCTTTCCAGCAAGCACACTCCCCCTATAGCAAAAATCTTTTTCAATGACAACAACAAACTATAGATAGATAGATTTAGGTATGAGATTTTACCAGTATTTTTCCTAACAGGTAAGGGGTAGGGGTGTGTGTGTGTGTGTGTGTGTGTGTGTGTGTGGCAGGTGGCGTGGTGGTTAAGGGTGCTGGACTCCCTCATGGCTGACTGCAGTTCATGTCCTGGACCTGGTGGCTTGCTTTCTCACTTTCCTTCTCTCTCTCTCTCTCTCTCTGTCCCTCTCTGGTCAAATTGAAATAAATAAATTAATTAATAAATAATTTAAAATAAAATAATTCTTTGAAAAAAAACAAAACACAATAATTAAACAAGTAGAACTGGCCTAATGGTAAAGGGAACTAGATCCTACCTGTCCAATTGCACAGTTTGAGTCTTGGATCAAGTGGTCTGAAAAAAGCATACCCGGCTCAGGGCCAGCAAGTGGCATAGTGGTTACTGTGCTGGACTCTCACTACTGTGCTGGACTACCACTACTGTGCTGGACTCCATGGCTGATCGTGGTTCAAGTCCCAAACCCAGTGGCTTATAACTCATGCCGGGCAAGAGTTCCCAGGAGAAGAATGGAGAAGGGGTTCCAGTGTGGCCATCCTCCTTAGAAGGTGATTTCTCACTTTCCCTCTCTCTGTCTCTCTCTCTTTTCCAGTGAGGGCACATGCCCTATGGCAAAAAGGCTAAAAAAAGACAAACATGCCAGGCTCATGTGTGTGAGCTTAAAAGTCCCAACAGGATGGAGAAATGGAGGAGAAAAGATTGTGTGGTGACCATAACCCACTGGAGGGTGCTTTCTCCCTCTTTCTGCCCCACCTTCTTCTTTTTATATCTCTGGCAAGTGCACATGCTCTCTAGCAAATTGAAAATCAATAATAATTAAATAAGTAATAAATTAGGAACTTGATTATAGTTACTTTGCACTTAATATCAATTACATACCACTCAACATTTTTAGAAATTCCTGGTAATTAGCTTAAAGCAAATAGGAAAGAAATTGATAAGCCAAACGTTTATTTCTCCCACAGAAACTGCCACCAAGAATAGCCCCATCTCTTTTTTTTTTTGGAGAGGTTTTTGCTATAGGGCATGTGCTCGCCAGACAGACAGAGAGAGACAGAGAGAGAGAAAGCAAGAAATCACCCCCCCCCAGGGGGGATGGCCACACCGCAATCCCTTCTCCATTCTCCTCTCGGGATCTTGGGCATGCACGCACATGCGCCCGGTGTGAGTTTAAGCCACCGGGTCCGGGACACGAACCGCGGTCGACTACGTGGAAGTCCAGCGACATAGCCATTACGCTAACTGCTGGTCCCGCCCCATCTCTTTTTAAACATTTAAAATACAGGTTGAGCTGAACCACTGAAGTTTATCAAATGTTCTTTTAATTGTGCAAACATGCTGCTGGATTAATAAGTCACATACGTATTAAACACATCAATCCATACCATTTTCAGTTAAATACTTACGCAGTTTCGCGTTGAATCAAATCCATGCTCACGATCAAGGCATCCAGGACTCAGCTAGTTAAGGGCAAATAAACCACCATGAGGCCCCTCTTTCTATGTACACCAAAGTCCACAGTGCTAAACATTGTGGACACTGGACTAGGTGATGACTTAAAAGTATCTGTCTAGGTGCGTTTTCTTTCATCTGACTAAATGCCCTTCTCCCAAAGGCTATTTCACTAACAGATATCCACATATGCTTGACATCAAAGTATATATCCTGACACAACTATGAGAAAATAAAAAGTAGTCTACAAGCTGGACCCAGAGCCTAGTGGTTAAGGTAGCTGGATTCTCCCATGGCCAACTGCAGTTCAAATCCCAGCCTGGAGGCTTGAAAAATATGCTGGATGTTGTGTGTGTGTGTGACTAAAAATCCCAAAAGGATGGGAAGCTTTGCGCAGTGGCAGTATCGTAGCCAATGAGGTTTATCCGAGGCGCGATTATTGCTAATTGAAAATCCCAAAAGGATGGGGAGATATAGAAGGGATTACAGCATGACCACACCACATTAGGAGGTGCTTTCTCCCTCTCCCTCTTGGTCTCTTTCTCTCTCTCTGGTGAGAGCAGGTACGCTCTAGCAACTAAGGGGCAGGGGTGAAGATAATCTAACATATGCCAATTTAACCAAAAGTTATGGTGCCATGTAACAGTACCTAAAGCCCATTTTTGGTGATGGAGAAATGACAATATAGATTTAGACCTGGGGACCAGCAGTTAGCATAATGGCTATGTCTCTGAACTCCCATGTAGCCAACCATGGTTCGAGTCCTGGATCCAGTGGCTTAAACTCACGCCGGGCGTGTGTGCATGCATGCCCAAGATCTTGAGAAGAGAATGGAGAAGGGATTGCAGCGTAGCCATCCACCCTGGGGCGTGATTTCTTGCTTTCAATCTGTCTCTCTCTGATTTCCAGCGAGCGCATGCACCCTATAGCAAAAACCTCTCCAAAAAATAAAAAGAACAAAAGAAAGAAAAGAAAAAAAAAGATTTAGACCTGAGATTTTCTAACTCTCTTTTATTTTTTTTCTCAATAAATTTTTGCTATAGGGCATGTGTGCTCATGCTCACTAGAGACAGAAAGTAAGGAATCACCCCTCAGGCACACTCCCTTCTCCGCCATTCTCCTCTTGGGATCTTGGGCACGCACGCACATACACTAGCATGAGTCTTAAGCCACTGGGTCCAGGACTCAAACTGCGGTTGACCACATGGGAATCCAGCAATGTAACCATAATGCCACCTGCTAGTCCCTAGACCTGGAATTTTAATGCAAATCCCAGCCCATTCTGAAATAAAAAGTGAGTCATTCTGTAGCGATTACAAGTCACTCCCAACACAGTAGCATTACTGTGATGTGGGATGGCCACTCCCAACACAGTAGCATTACTGTGATGTGGGATGGCATTACTAATTGGTCAGAAAAATAAAATTCAGGCCCTTGGGAGGAAATCAGAAATCTTAGTTTCAATATCAATCTGACTTTTGGCACAAAAACATTCTTTATCTAGAAAAAGGCCAAGAATGTGAATGCTGTCCTCTTCTAAAAATATCTTTTCTCTACCTATAAACATTTCTAACCACATCATCTTCTGCCACAGCTAACAGCCACATGTACTCCCTAGTGCTTTCCCCTTCCCATGTCTCCCAGCCTCTCAATATCACTACTGCAGAGCAGGGGCAAGTGCCTGTGGAGCTTAGAACCCAGGTACCCAACTCTCCATGTCACGCTAAACCCTAATACACACCACCTCCCTTTTTTCAGAACAAAATAAATCCACATACTCAAAGCTGAGACTCTGAGAGAACTTCACCAAATTGGATTATGAATCCCTAGATTAAAGGAAATTTATTAAGACCATTTTCTGGCTAAAAAAGGATACAGTCACTTTGTTGAGAACCTGGTTGGATTTT